AAGCCATCCAACACCACCAAAAGCCTTGGAATAAATCAAAGGACCAACCAAAAATAGTTCTAGGGCTTTAAAAACATCAAAACCCCACATTTGAGAGTTTACAGCCATAGAACATGTCTCATGGCTGTAAACTCATAAAAGGGTGTCAAATGGTGCCCCAAACTCATTTCTAGGCTTGTGGGAATTTTTAGAATCACATGTGATTAATTTTAACACCTTAAAAACACTAAATCAAGGAGATATGAGAGTTTACGGCCAAAGATCCCATGCCTAGGCCGTAAACTCCCTTAAGTGTTGCAAATGTTGTATTTAATTCAATCCAAGCCTTAAGTAAAATTATTCCAAGCATTTCCAAGTGTCCATATCCATTTATGACCCAAATTTGCACCATAAACCACCCCACCGTGAGTTTACGGCCGTAAACTCATGGGGAATGGGTGTGTTGGACCAAAAACTCTTGTATAAGTTTATTCATGGGGAGTAAACTCATTTCCTAAGTCCCTCGAATCATTACATGTCCTTAAACACCACCCGGGTCCCTCCAAACACTCGTATCGGAGTGTTTTCGCGACTAGAAACAATTGTCCCTATCCAACAATCAATCTAAGTCCTAATTAGATACAAATGTGTATCTTTACATCATAATTAGGAACCTCATGTGTTTACAAGCCCCGGATCAACTCTTAGCATCCAAATCGTCACATTTCTCGTCTGGTGAGTTCATACCCCTACGGCTTTTTCACTGTTTTCAATGTTTTCAGGGGGAATACAAGCAAACTATAATTGTTTTCAAATCATAACATTGATATGTTTCAAACAATATCTGACAAACTTATAAACACTTTTACAACTTATGTATTATGTTGAGCATAACGAATAATTTATCAATTACAACTAAATGAATTTTAGTTAAGGAAATAACCAAACTAATCAAATTATTATGGGAATAATTTGGGGTCTTTACTGTTCTTTCTATCATATACTGATGTCTATATAAAGTTATTAGATAAAATATGTCTGATTCAGTTTATCTCTGTATCATTTGAATGTATTGTCAGATAATTTCATTGTATGTATCTATATTCATTGTAGTATGTTTCATAATCTTCTGTATGTCGATATCGTATGGAAACTCTGTGAATAGATTAGTACTAGTTTGTGAGATAGTCACTACCCTTTATGGATGATCAGTAAATCCTCCCCGGAAGTGTAACCAGAGTCTCCTGGAGGGAGCGCGCGGAATTTGTGAATAGATCTATTCGGGACTGACAATCCCACACCTTAACTGCTAGCTACAGTTAGGCGGGCACTCCTGGGGTGACAAATTTCTGGATATCGTTTCGACGTCTAACAAACGTCAAGGAGGTCTCATTGTCATATTAGCATGGTTACACGACTCACAACATGTATTAATATTAGTTTATTCACAGTTTGGGTTTTTGTTTCTATATCTCTTTCGGGATAGTGATCCCATGGTATTATCAAACTATTTTATATCTAGTCCGGGATAGTGATCCCATGGTTTTATACCTATAACTTGTGCGGGATGCTTTTCCCCATGGTCTTTAACTATATCTATTATGGGATAGTAATCCCAAGAACTCAGTCTATATTAAGTACGGGATGATAATCCCATGGTCTAAATCTATATCTTGTCCGGGATAGTGATCCCATGGTTTTCAATCTATATTTCCATATATATCAAATTATCTCGTGTCTAGTCCGGGATGGTAATCCCATGATCTTAAATCTATACTTTCATATGTGTCAAACTATCTTATATTTCTTTCGGGATAGTGATCCCAAGATTTTCATCATATAGTTTTGTGTATCAAACTATACTTTGTGATATGCAACTGATCTTACAATTAGGAAAATATGGGATTTTCCTGGGGTAAAACACAACACGTAATCGAATTGGAAACAAATGATAACTAAACCAACTTCACATAAGAAAATATGGGATTTTCTTGGATATAAACCTTTTCGGAAACTAAAGGAAATCGATACATTTTCATAAAACAAAACCGCTTATGAACTCACCAGCTTTATGCTGATTTTCAAACGGCTTGTATTCTCAGGTCCAAGTTAGACAGGTACCTGGTGATCTCTTTTTGATGAAGACGGAGTGCGTGGAAGACTCGCCTCAACTTTTGTTAATATGATGCATATGTATATCTTGTATAACTTTACTTTTGAAACAAATGTAAACCTTCATATATATGTAATGTAATGGTTGTTTACTGTGATTACTATGTACATTGGATTTGATACACAACGTGGTAGTCCACCCTGGAAATGTTTCCGCCTTTGATTTTCGGGGTGTTACAGATTGGTATCAGAGCCCTTGTTTATAGTGTACGGAGTATGCCAAACCTTACATGGTATAAAACTATAAACATTAAAGGGCCTCAGTGCTCTGAACTAAAAGTATCTTCAAAACTATAAGTATTTTCAAAAGTATACAAGTATACCGAACCGTCGAAATCCGTAACTACAAGTAGAACAAAACATAAGTAAATGAGTGTTGTACACTGCGGTTAAACCTGGGCAGTTATGTAGTGGTGTCTAGGATCAATATAGTCTGACCAACTATGTTCATTCGAGACACGGCCAACATGTGCTTGGGAGTGACTGTGGTACGCAGCATGCCTAAAACATACCTAATATCTCCAACAACGAATCATTGCTGCAGCGAACCATGAAATACTATGGGAGTATTTCTCGAGCCAATCCTTCTTAGAAAATCCTCGTATACGCGAAGTTACTTGACCATTCCACTAGCGATAAAATGTTCTGTCTTGATAACTCTTTCCTGCTTTATCGCTTAGTATGATGCTATATCTTTCTTGATGAGAAATCCCCTGTTCCATATCTCTTGATTCAATTCAGAGGACTTATAATCCTCTCTTTCCTGATCTTTTAGATCAAGATGCCTCCAAGAAAGAGACCCAGCTCGAAGAACAACGGCAATCCTCCTCCGCCACCACCTTCTCCTCAATTTGATCTCGCATCACTTCAAACAGTTCTGACTGCTGCAATGGTGGCAGCCATGTCACAAATGAATCCCGGTGGCTCCGGAGGTGGTCCCCAACCCCAAAATCCAGAAGACAGCCAGGAACACCGAAGAGGGGGTTCCTACAAAGACTTCATGAACGCCAAGCCTACAACCTTTGATGGCACTGGAGGTGTCATTTCCCTAACTCGATGGTTCGATAAAATCGAATCAATCTTCGAAATATGTGCCTGTTCGGAGTCTGACAAACTAAAGTTCGCAGCCTGCACTTTCCTTAACAAAGCCTTGACTTGGTGGAACGGCCGAGTCAAATCCTTAACCTTACCTGTAGCAAATGCCATGGGTTGGGAAGCTATGAAGGAGCTTCTGCTTGCAGAGTATTGCCCTCGGGGCAAAATTCAGAAACTAGACCACGAACTCTGGAACCTTAAGATGAAGGGTTCCAACATAGCTGCTTATACTTCAAAATTGGATGACCTGGCATTACTCTGTCCGGGAATGGTTACCCCGGAGAGTAAAAAGATCGAGAGATTCATCTGGGGATTGACCCAGCCAACCAAAGGGAATGTCTTGGCTGCGAAGCCAGACACCTACGACAATGCTAAATACCTTGCAAAAATCTTAATCGATCACAAAGACAACTTTGATGAGGAAGCTACCACTCCTGAATAAGACACAAGTGGAGGTGAAAGTAAAAAAGAAAGCTCGGAACAAGCGAAAGGCCCCGAGTACAAAAGGGTCTTCTAAGAAACAACAAACGGTAGCAGTCCATGCTGCTACTGCCCCTGTTGCTGTCTCAGCTATCAGTTCTATAGCCCAAACTCCCGCCAGTGGATACACTGGTAGTCTTCCTTGGTGTGGTAAGTGCAACTACCATCACCGCATTCCTGGCCCATGTCGCGAAAGGATCTGCGACAACTGTGGCAAGAAGGGCCATTTGTCTCGAACCTGCAGAAAACCAGTCAAATCAACGAACCAATCATCGGGGGCAGGAATCAATCCGGCCTGCTACAATTATGGTGAAGCAGGGCACTTCAAAAGGAATTGCCCCAAAGCAGCAACCACCACTGATCCCTCTTTCGCTGCAGGTATACTTCTCTTTGATAAATCTTATACCTGCAACCCTTTTCGATTCTAGTATTTAGAGGGAAACCTGTTATCTATCTATTCGAACATTTTTCTAAACTCAATCCTTCGTATGTGATCGAAATGTATATCATCGAGATGACTAACCAGTGAGATGGAGAACACTAACTTTGTACCTATAGATTGAATCCTCAGTCCGGAGGACTATTCTGTTCCATTCGATTAAATGGGAAACTTTTCACGAGAATGCTTTGATGCTATGTTTAACATGGAATGACTGAGCCTCATTCATGTTGTTATTCTGATTTCGTGAGGGTCGCCTATCTATATCTTTTCCTCGACCTAACTCTCATGATCGTCGACATCAAGTCTTCATATTGTTTCATGCTATAAAACTCAAAAGTTTTCCCGATACAAATTACCACACATCCCTCGTTTCTGTGATCATTGAGAAACGGGAAGTTAGTAGCTCTTTCTATTAAATGTTTGTCCCGAAGAGTTTCCGGGAATTTCATTCGAACGTCTAAAGTTTAGTTCCACCTCATACTTTTCGAGGTCTTCGTAGAGATTGATTCTGCAATCTTCAGGGTTCGGATCACTACTAGAAAACAGACCTTTAACGACGTGCAATTTATGACACGCTGTGATTTATAATACACAAAAGCATGTGACCTAAAAATAATGTCAGCTCTCTAGAAATTTTAAGAATTTAAGACGTGTATTTTGTCGTGCCGTAAAACTAGTGTTAGAAAAAAAAAACACGGAGGGCACTTACTATTAAATGTGCGCGTCATCTAAACATGTCGCTTTATAATTTTTAATGAAACGCGCTCTTTAGTTACAAGCGGGAAAAAAGAAAAACCCCAAAATTAGAAAAAACCTGCTTTCGCTTCCCTCTTTACCCTAATCGGTGATCCTTCTTTCCCATCCCTGGCTCCCCACATAGACCGCTAACTACTCCCCTCACACTCCGACCACCACTTTGAGCTCTTTCCTGGTCGTCGACCCTCTTCCATTGTCGACCCTCCACTAACGTTGCATCTTTTTCATCGTCTTCCTCAGCCATCGGCCTTCTTCAGTGCCTTCATATGTAGATTCTACGCACCACTCCTTCCACACGATCACTTTGTAATCGACGACTTGATTAGCGTCTCCTTACCTTGCTCTCTCTCACCTCACCTCGTTGGCAACTGCAGGCTCACCTCTAATCGCCAACCATTGAGACTCATCAGCACCGGCGACTGTGTCCCAAATCTGCTTCCCCTCTACATTACTCCACCTACTACAACTACTCATGAGCTTCTCTTCTACCTTGTTTCCATCAGTTATCTCACATATCCCCTCGTTCATCTTCGCCCCTCACCCATCTCCACCGTCTCCGCCCCTCACCGCCTCTTCTTGCCCTATAGCCCACACCTAACAACTTTGATTTGAATAAATTTAAGGAAGTAGAAGTTATTCAAGAATAAATTGCAGATGAAACCCTAATAGCATTATCTGACAACGCAAGAGGATGATGGCGTTGGAAAGCAAGCGTTCTTGGTTGTTTCCTTCTCATGCTCTGTACTTTTTTCCTGGTATTTTAATCCTTTCTGTAAACCCGATCTGCAATTAGTTGTTGATACGAGTTTCTAAAAATTATAAGAAAGAGGAATCAAAAGTTCAAAAACATGTTTGTAGTTACAGAACCCACATCCCTCTGTAAAACTTATAATTCTATCAGAAAATCAAATATATTCAACATAGCCAAATTAAATTTCTTGGAATAGCTCAATCCCATACTTACATGTTCTTACAGTGTTTTCTTCTTCTTCTTCTATGTAGCAATGATTGCAAAGGTAGCAATTGCTGTGGTCGGTGTTTTTCTAGGATGGATTTATACACGAATCAAACCACCACCTCCTAGGGTTTTTGGATCACCTGGTGGACCTCCTATTACTTCACCTCGAATCCAACTTAATGATGGAAGACATTTACCTTACAGAGAGTGGGGTGTCCCCAAAGATAAAGCCAACTACAAGATCATTGTCATAAGCTATTGCCCTCCAACTTAAACGAATCTATCATCTAGCAAAAAATTGGTAATGAGATGCTTTATATTTTTATCTTCTTCATGAAAGTCAACAAAAACTATTATATTCTATATATCTACATAAATGTGAAATGGAAATATGGAATATTGATTTTTATATTGTAGGTGGTTGTTGTCTACATTTCCCGAGGGTGGAAGAGATCTGATGTTATAAGACTTCCAGTGAGTATCATTTTAGGTTTTGAACTTTTGGTTGCATCTTAATCACTTTTTTTGGGAGAATAATAACAATAATAATATATTATGCGTATTATATGTGAATATCTAACAGGTTGTGAGCGAGAATATTGCTGTCCATGACTCGAATGGAAAATAAGTAGAGTATCAACTTCTCCCCGTAGTAAATGACGCTATTGCCCTTAGAAACTACTATACCACTGCATATACATGCAAATCACCAAGCTCAATTTCCAAGTATTAACTTGCATTTACAACATCTGTTCCACCTCTGGGATTTACCACATACGTCGTTTCAAGCACAAAAAAGTCAGGTAAAAATAAAATTAACAATATTTTACATAATATACATTGATTTTCGAATTTTGAATAGAATTTATCTAGTGATATAATTTATTTTATGTAGCATGGAATTCTGTAAATGAAGCATTTTACAAGCATACTAAAACAGGAAAAGATGGGATAGAAGTAGGAACAGGAAATTTGAAGTTAATCTATTCTGGAAGTGAAGGAAAGGTTTCTCAATATGTTAACAGTGGAAGCTCTGTAAGTATATTTACCTTTCATTTTTTTTTGTATAATATAGCAACCAACTATCTTATTTTTGCTAATGACCTAATTGGAAAATAAAATAGTTGATCACCCAAATTAGCAAAAATGAACCTATTTTTTGATGTTATATAAAATATAGTAAGTTAAGTTATGTATTATTATTAGTATTGTTATTTATTCTTTTAATGTGCACTAACCTGTGTTATTTTGGTTTATGAAAGATCACTGCCTCTGTGAAGCAATCATACAACTTTTATGCTGGACTTGATGGAACTACAGGAGAGCAGGTAACTTTATTTTCCTTATCTCATTTATTATTTTTATTTTTTTATTTTGTAAATACAGTTATTGGTACAAGTTTTTTATATTAACAATTGAGCTCCTAACTTGTTTAATTTATGCATCTGAAGCATATATTTTCCTTCCAAATGGTACATATTCTATTGATACACAGGAGCAGGTATATATTATATAATTTCTTCTGATATATCTATGTGTCTTATAGTTTATACTTTATAGCCAAATTTAAATTTTAATATTCTTCATTGAAATTACAGACTCCCATAAAGGTCTTGAATGGGCCAATATATGATGAAGTACATCAGAAAATAAATCCATGTATTTACCAGGTAATGGATAAAGTAGTGCTATATGAACTCATTTTTTTCCATGTTGGACTAATTGAACTGTCTGAAATGACCAATTTACCCTTCTGTGCAGATCACTAGAGTGTTCAAGAATAAGGAGCATGCTGAAGTGGAATTTACAGTAAGTTCATTTTCATTACTTGTCTAATTGTTGTTCATTACTGATAATCTCAAGTTTTTCAGGTGGGCCCCATACCTGTTGATGATGGAGTTGGGAAAGAAATTGTAACTCAGATCACAACCACCATGAAGAGCAATAAAACATTTTACATAGATTCTAATGGGATAGATTTTCTTCAAAGGGTATTACTCCCATTAAACATCTAAGTAGGTATTTAAAGAAAATGTGATCAAAATTATATTTTTTTGTGGCAGATTCGAGACTATAGAAAGGATTGGAATCTTGAAGTGAATCAACCTATTGCTGGAACTTATTATCCTGTATGTTTTCTTTTTTCAATATCCATTATCAAGATAACTGTCATTTTGAATCAACATGCCCTTTGCTATTCATATTCAATGCTCCATTAATGGAAAATTTACCTAAAAGACGAAACTAGTGAGCTCTCGTTTCACAAACTTGTGTTATTTCTAAAGGTCAATCTTGGAATTTACCTAAAAGACGAAACTAGTGAGCTCTCGTTTTTAGTAGATAGATCCGTAGGTGGATCCAGCATTGTTGATGGGAAATTGGAGTTAATGCTTCATAGGTATGTCTATTCTTTCCATTCGCATTTTCATCAAAATCAACAATCAAAAAAATTAAATCAGCCATAATATATATAAACACGAATAATCTCTTTTTTAGGAGATTGCTTTATGATGATGGAAAAGGTGTTGCAGAGGCGCTTAATGAAATAGTTTGCGTTGGTAACGATTGTAGAGGATTAACTGTAAGCATTTTCTATAAGTCAAATTGGAGAGGGTGCCATGTGGCGCCGATCCTATGGTCAAGAAATATACTCTCCACTTCTTTTGGCGATCACTGAGCAGGTGCTTGAATATTTTTTGTGTTAAATGTTTCTTTAAAAATCCATAAAAAATGTTACTTATCAATTAATTTTATTATAGTTTACAGGACGAAAAAACAGGGACAAATTTCCAGGTGTCCACATTTTCAGGAATGGATTCCTCCTACAGTCTCCCTGATAACGTAGCATTGTTAACACTCCAGGTAAACCATGTAAAAAGACGTAAATGCCCTCCTTCTTCATTAGAATCTTTGAAAATAGCCTACAAAGCTTGAGAAAAAACTTTATTTTCTTAATTAAGGAGCTGGAAGATGGAAAAATTCTTCTTCGGTTAGTACACTTATATGAGGTGGTTGATCTTTCTTCTTCTTCTTATTATTATTATTATTATTATTACAAAAATTCATTTAATTGTGTTTTGAAACACGATAAAATTATATTTGTATATTTATATATTTTTTTCTTCTGGCTCTAGGTTGGAGAGGACAAAGATCTTTCAGTTATGACAAGTGTTAAATTACTGAAACTATTTGCAAAGAGGAAGGTAATACACTACAACATGCAAGTTTCTTTGACACACTAAAGAACATCTTTTTAACTTTTTTTTTTGTACTTGATATGAAGATAAAAGCTCAATTGCACAGCCTCATGAAAAACAGAATTTACTATTTTGCCTCTTATACTCTCTCAACAATCTCTTCTAGGTTTTTTCTTCTCATCTGATTTACGTTCAAATTCCTTAGAATTGATAAATTTTGTATGGTTGATATGTCATCAATTGGGCATACTTTTGAGAAGATATATTTTCTTTTGGTATTGTGACTGATACCTACAAATACTTGTATGAATGTGCAAATATATGCATCAGATACGCATACTTTTGTGTTTGATTGTTTGTCATGTGTGCAGCAAATGTGTCTCATTGAGATTTAAAACACAAAAACATTCTTGCTAATTCTGACTGTAAACTAAAGATCTGTGATTTAGAACCCTAAAACAGTCACAAATAAGAAGATTACATATTTTTTCCTGGTTTCACTCCCAATGTGAAAACAGGTTGCACTACTGGGGCACAAGTGGTGAATCCCATGGTGTTCAATAAAAGGAACCAACACCCTTCTGTGTAGTATGCTCTTTGATTCCTATAGACTGTTATTTATCAACAAAAAAAAAAACTTTTTGACTTTTCTTTATAACAAAAATGTTTTTCTTTCACATTAATAATGTCATAGATTAAGGTAAATGATGCAATCTTAGAATAGTAACTTCATTGTATTCTATTAGGATGCATTTAAATATCTGAGAAGGGATTGCTTCCACAGTTTGGCTGAGAAACCTCAGTTTACTCTCTTATATTCAGGTTCTAATTTCTATCTCCTTCAGTAATTTTCTTTTTATACCCTTGGCTGAGATAAAAGGACTAATTCCAGAGGTTTTATTAAGCAGCTTTTGGAGTTGTAACATTGGTAACTGTGATTATGTGCTTGCTATGGCTAGGGGTAGTTGATGGAATTGAATATCAACCAAGTGGAACTGCATTAAAAGCTAGAAATTTGCCTATAGTTGTTGGACTAATTGGTTTTTTTGTATCGATTCTATTTTTTGTATGACATTAAATTTATACAATGGATTCTATTTTTTGTATGACATTAAATTTATGCAATGGATTCTATTTTTTGTATACCATATTTTATTTTTCTATTATGAAACATTAAATACAAATTTAATTTGAAAATAAGTAAATCTATAAATAATATTTTTTTTAAACATTTAAAATTATGATACGCAAAAATGTATGTCATCTTCATTTATGACATGGCCTTTCTTGACAGGTGTTTTCTTGATACGCATTGCGTGTCATTAACACGCGCGTCGTAAGGTAACGACACGCGAATGCGTGTTGTCTTCCGTTATGACAGGGCCTTCCTGGATACGCATTGCGTGTCGTAAACGCGCGTCGTAATTGCGCGTCGTAAATGAGCGTCGTAAATGCGCGTCATCTATAGACGATGCGCAAAAGCGTGTCGTCTCTCTTTATGACATGGCCTTCCTTGACGCGCATTTGCGCGTCGTCTGAACCTTTTACGACGCGCAATGAGCGTCGTAAAAGGCTGTTTTTCTAGTAGTGGATGCTCTTAGAACTTGTTAACATCTATCCAGTACATCATGTCTCGAATCCTTAGAAGCTTCTACCCAACGAAACCCTAGTGGTTCCTTGAGGAAACCAAAGTCGTCCAGGATTGGAACTTCCATAAGAAAACCAATTGATAACATAGATCGAGAGAGAGTCAAGATACGAAACAAGAACACGTCCCGATAGTGAGAATTCACTAGAACGCCCAATAGAGACCCATCCACTTGAGAAAGTGAAGATCCGAAGTAACAAACCCATTCGTGTCTCATTTCAAACTCATGATCTATGTCTTATTCCTTGAATTTCGGGACGAAATTCCCTCTAACGGGGGGATAATGTAACAACCCGAAATTGTTCGTCGCCAAAACCCGTTGTACCCGAAAAGTCGCCATTATCAAATTCGTTCTGTTTTCACTTTGGGTTAATTATTTAAAAACTTATATGTTTATTATAATTTAATGAGTGTCTAAATCACTCAGGAACTCATGTTATTAACCCAAAACATTTATTTCATAAGTTTTAGAAACATCCCCGCCGGGTGACGGTAACTTAATCGGGTGCGACCAAAAGCCACGTTTAACGTCAGTATCGGGGAGAATTCCACCGCGTCCAAGTTTTAGGACCTATATAAACGTCTTTTAGCATCCATTTGAAGCTTTTTCCTTCTCTCTCTACTCTCTCTCTAACCTTTCTCCTAAATCTATGTTTAAGGGTCCAAAACTCAAATTTAAGGCCTCAAATCTCTAAGGTACAGTCCATAGCTTGTATTGTAACCTTCTTAACCTTCAAATTCGAGTTCAAAACATGATTTGTGACCACATTCATGAGTTTATGGCCATCGAGCATTCATGGGCCGTAAACTCACAATAAGTGGGTTTTTGAACCCTAAAACCCCTCCTAAGCACTATTGGACTTTAGATATGGCTTAATGGCTTAATGGAATGGACATATAACATTTAAAACATGAGTTTTGTGGCATTTAAAGGAGTTTACAGCCAAGGCTCATTCTTGGGCCGTAAACTCATATATATGGGGTTTTCATGCCCTTAAACCCTTCCAAATCACTTATATGACTTAGATATTGTTGGGCTGAAGATTATTTTGAAGATTGCGTCTTTTGGGATCGATAGTATAAGTTACTTTGCATTCCGGTTTGGGCCTGTCCAACCGAGAACCTTTTATGTTTTGTATATAAGTTTACGCTTGCATGCTTATTAGGTAAACGATTTTAGATTAACGACATAGCGTTTCATCTAGAGTATAACAGGTTTCTTTAATCGTTCTTGTAACCTACCAATCCTCTACAGTTGATGTTCTTAATCGAGCTCTTCTGAGGATTTTGTTTAATCATTCGACACGTTTGATTCCATCTTGACTTATTCTTATTATTGCGTTCATAGAGTTTTATATTTACATACTTGTTCAAGATCTAATCGATCTATGTAGATTAAAGGTTGGTTTAATCGCATCAATTGGTATCAGAGCAGGAGGCTGTGTAATTGATACACATCTTTTCTGTGAAAAAGATTTCCATTAGGGTTTTTCCGCAATTATCAATATTTATTGAGTCGTCATCTCTTTATTGACGTATCTTGATATTTATTGTTTTGCCCTAATCTGCTTTATTACAAGTCTGATCTTTGAACAGGTTTTTACGATTATAATGGACGCGACACAATCAAACCCTATTAATATTTCCAACAGCATCGGTTCGACGGCAAAGATTCCAATCTTATACACCCATGACTATGAAGTACGGGCGCATCACTTTGAAGACTACGTGATTGGATCGGAGGATAATGGGTACCTCATATAGGAAGCCATCATCAATGGACCGTTTTCTCATTCTGCAACGTCCAGAATTATTAAGACTCAAAAGGAGTACAATGATCTGCTAAAGGACATGAAGGATATTGCACAAGATGAAAAGGAAAAATTCCAGTGCAATATTAAGGCGTTAAGGTTGATCAGATTCGCCCTTCAGTCCGACACATTCAGGTTGGTCAACTCATGCACGACGGCAAAGGAAGTTTGGGATAGACTTCGTGAACTGTATTCTACAGACGAGGATCTTGAACATTCTATTCAAACTTTGCTTTTATCTGAGTTTGGAGAATTCAGGCAAGGGGCCGAAGAAACGGTGACCCAGACGTTTGATCGCTTCAATCATCTTCTCAGCAAGATGATCAAACATGATATTGAAAGGAAGCTTATCGGACAGAAGGTTACTTTCTTGAATGGACTGAGGTCTGAATGGAGAGCAGTGGTTTCCACAGTCAAAGCCCATGAGCAGTTTAAATCATACTCTTTGGCGAAACTGGTGGGTATTCTCAAGTCCCAAGAGAAGATTGTGTTGCAAGAAAAGAACATCGTTTCTAGTCTTGGTTCGTTGGCCCTCCTATCTAAAAGTAAAGCTGTGATGGAGGATGAAGACCTCAACTTGGAAGAATATGACCTCACGTCTGAGGATTATGCCATGATGGTGTCCAATCCGAAGAGGTTCATAAAGAAGAGATTCCCCAGCAACAAAAACCGAAACTGGCAGGGGAGTTACAGCTCTGAAAAAGTGAACAATGAACCGAAGGCTGAGGAGCCCAAGAAGGAACCGAAGGTAGATGGCGATTCCGGAGTAAGCTGCTTCTACTGTGGTGGGAAAAACCACTATGCTAAGGACTATGTCCTTAAGAAGATGGCTGAAAAGGATGATGGAAATGATGAGGAAGCTGTGTTACAGAAAAGATTGGATGAGGTGAGAAAGAAGAAGTCTACCGCTAACCCTTCTATTAATGCTCTCATTGTGCAGGGTTCGGTTAATGATGACGAGTTCGGTAGCATGGAAGTTTGGTCTACCGACTCAGAAGACGATGAAGTGAGGAAGCCTACCCATGGAAAGGCTTATGTGACTAAGGAGGAAAGCAGTGGAGGAAGATGCTTCATGGTGACTGACATATCCCAAATGAGGGGATACAACACCGATGGAGGAAGCTATGGACCGAAGGTATAGGAGGACATGTGCTTTACGGCCAAACCACTCAGCCAGCAGTTCAATGAGCTCGATGAACTGATAAAGAAGGTTATAAGTGACGAGCAGTTCGACGAAGAATGGTACATCGATAGTGGCTGCTCACGTCACATGACAGGGAGGAAAGAGGAGCTTAGGGAATACAGATCTCTTGCAAATGGTGGCAACGTCAAGTTTGGAAATAATTCTTTCGGCACCATAAAGGGATACGGGATGATAACAAATGGGGACTTTACTATAAGGAAGGTGGCTTATGTGGAAGGACTCCAACACAACCTCATTAGTGTATCTCAGCTTGTTGGAGGTACAGGTCTCAAAGTCTCATTCGATGATGAAGGTTCTGAAATCATAGAGAAAAGGACAAAGAAAGTGATTCTCAAGTCAGAGCGAAAGGGTGAAATGTTTCCCTTAAACCTTAAACCCATCAAAGGAAACCCAGCTATATGCTTGTTATCAAAAGCTCAATCCGACGAAAGCTGGTTGTGGCACCGAAGGCTCTCTCATCTCAATTTTAAAGATATCAACCGACTTGTCACTGGAGGTCATGTTAGGGGTCTTCCATTGCTC